CCAATGAAATGCTTTGTAATATCATTAGCCAAGTCTATGTGACTTTGGTTCTTTGACATTACAAAAGTTTCATTGCATGTAAGTTTAGATATAACATATTCTAATAGTGACAAGAATTTGGTATTCTTACACTTATAGTAAGGATTAGGGAATTGTGAAATGAGCATCATTGGAAATGTGTCCAACTGATCTATTTCAAAATAAAGGACCATAGATAAACATAGTGTGCAGTTTGGAGCATGGGATGACAATTTGTTTAATTCAAGTATAGAGTTGATTAGTCGAAAATTTAAACAATGAATAAAGTCTAATTAATATGGCGATTAAATAATAAGTGTTTTATTTATATTCAAAAGTTATGAGACCATATTCGATTAGGTTATTCTTGTGTTTCACTTCGCATGTTTTACTTCCCGAATAATAAGATTATTCAAGCATCCACAGTCAATCATACGTTGGAAGTAAGTAATGTGGAAAGACTATCATGAATCCAACTGTAGATTATCTAAGTGCTTAGACATAGCAAATGTTTTGCTATAGTGTTCATGTGTACTCCTGAAATAAGAATTTGAGTATTGGCTTAACCCACACTCACGTATTACTTCATCGATTTTATCACGAGTAATTTTGTAATGATAATATCTTCCATTCTTGAAATAGAGACATATGGGTTGTTTTTTATGAGTTGGTTGTGCATTGATAATAAGTAAACACATCGATAACTTGATATTATAAAACATATTGTTGTGTTTGACTTGATGAGTAAATTATGCAAGCATATGAGTCGAAGTTTATCTGTTCCTTTTACCCTAAATGGGATAAAAGCAATATCCGTGGGTTCCTTGATGATTTAGTGATGACAACCTAAGCGCTTGGCCAAGCCTGGACTGATTTGATTTATTCAATTAGTCAGTTCTCATAAATCAAAAATCGGGAAACAAAACTTGGACAGAGAGAATGATTATAATCCATATCTCGTGTCCATATGATATCTTGTAAAACGTAGGAATACTTGATCCCTTATCTAAGGAAACGTGACTAATAAGATCAGAGTTCAACAACGACTTTTGAGAGCTACATTTGCTAGTCAAATTTTAAGATCATACTTGCAATAATAGTTATTAGACTTATCTAAGTGGGAGACTATTCTATTTGGTGTCTACGCACATAACTATAACTGGTATGTACTTGATTTGATATGTAGCACGGTCCTTTTGCGTTGCTTTCACTCATGCAACTTGATAGGATGCCTACTGGAGAGAGAGTAGGATTTATTATACGGGTAATAAACTGGTATTCGAAATGATTTTAATAATATATTATAGGGTTTAGGTCATTTTTGGTCACTTAACTTTTGGTTTTTTGCTCATTTGGTCACTTAACTCTTTTTAAGTTTTAAAAGGTCATCAAACTTTTGACTTTGTGCTAATTTAGTCACTTAACTTTTGTTTTGGTCACTTAAGTTTTTGAATTGTGCTCATTTAGTCACATAACTTTTAAAATTGTGCTCATTTAGTCACTAAACTTTTGAAAAAATTTAAACGTTTAGTGACAAAATGAGCACAATTTTAAAAGTTAGGTGACTAAATGTGACCAAGCCAAAAGTTAAGTGACTAAAGGAACACAAAGCCAAAAGTTTGATAACCTTTTAAAACTACAAAAGAGTTAAGTGACCCAATGAGCACAAAACCAAAAGTTAAGTGACCAAAAATGACCTAAACCGTATATTATAAGATTAATATATTATTTGGAAATTATTTTATTAATTAATAATTATTCATAAATTAATTTGATATTAATTTTGGGATTAAAGGAACTGATTAATGATGGAGGGGCTATTTTGTAAATCATTGATAGTTGCAAAGTTGGGTTGATGGACTCCTATCGAAGGACTGGATGAAATCTATAGGAGGCCCTAAAGAATTCATTCAAGGCTTCTATTATGGAGACCCATGGACTCCTTAAGGCCTAAGCAATGAAATTAGGGTTTCCACCTGAAAACCCTAGTAACACAGCTATATAAACACTCTTTTCTTAAGAAATTTCGACCCTATGCTATTCTAAGTGAACCTTGGCCTATTTCCTCATCTCTCCATCATCATTCTTTGCATTGGGTGTTTGTGACTCCATTAGAGGTGCAAAACATGGGGCACTAAGCTTTGAATAGTCAGGTGGTTCTTATTATTGCTAGATAACAAGTGAGGTAATGATCAAACCCTAATATTATATATGAATTTTAAATTGTATATGCTAGATCTAGGGTTGTTTCTTCGGTATTCATATTTGTATGTTCAATAGAGAAAAACTTAGATCCAAAGTGATTAGGGTTGCATGATCACATAGGAATGTAGATATGCTCAAAATCTATTAAATAGTTCTATCTTATAGATATCATAAGTCTTAGTCATGCAGTTATGCTAGACTTCCTTAAACTGGTGAGATAAGAAGACTAGTTCTTCTTTCAGTGTCCAGTTTCTTCTACAATAGAAACAACACAAATTGTTATTGGCCCCTTATTGGTTTCTAGGTTTATGCAATATTTCCCTTAACTGAACTATAAGTATATTCAATATTCTAAATAACATAAGGTGTGACTTGGCGACAATGTCAAGCCTCAAGCTTTTCCAGGTCTTGGCGAGCCACATTGTTTGTAAGGCGTGACTTAAGGTGGCAATTTAGTATATAATTAATTTTTTATATGTATTTTCAACTATTATTTATGTTATACCCATATATGAGTTAAGGCGACATTTTGGTAAAGTTTGGCGGCATGTACAAGCTTTTATTCAATGTTTGAACAAGTGTGAAGCACGTTCTAATGTTCTAATTGAATATTGCATTACTTGCAATACTATAAAAATACCTTTAATGATTTACTAATTTTCAAATTAAATTTGCATATTGTAAATTTAAATGTTTAAAAAATATTTTTATGGATTTACTAATTTTCAAATTAAATTTACATTTAATGTCCCATAATAGATAATAAAATACCATATACAAAAAATACAATTCATTGCACAAAGTTTAATGTCATACAAATAATCGTTCCAATAGTAGACAAATGTAATACATCTAATGAGATAGATGAAAGTCGTCAACAAATAATAAACATACACGTAGCAATCACATTTAAGAAAATGAAAATATCCAATGGATCATCCTTTTTAGTTAACTTCCATAATTAGTGTGTGTATGAAAATAATACTCTATTTTATCAATAGCCCTTCACAAGATTAAAAAGAAAATAATTTATCAAATATTTATTAGAAAGTCTTAGTACTTTCATCTAAAACATTTAAAATAATCAAATTACCTTTTATCTTAACAATTTAACCAAAAAACCAACTATAGTTTAGAATAACATGCCCATCTTTTATTTAGAAAATAAACCAATTTCTATCTAAAATATGTTAAAATAATATTACTTTAATTTCTGAAATAAGAAAGAAATAATAGGCTCTATAGCATTTTGCTTGTGGATCGTTGATCTTCCCACATTCAGTAGCTAGCCCATGACTCTATCAATTTACATAAATACATTAGTAAACAAAATCGAAAATCATTACATAATAATAACAAAATCCAACTATGTTTCTTACTGGAATATGTTTGTGATCGTCTCCTTCATCAGCCTCCATCTCCAAAGTCGGATCTACCTTCCTAATATGTATGTATAATAAAGACACAAAAATATATTGTGAATTTGTGATCTAATATGAAATATAAATATTGAATGTTGGTTATACCTTCCTAATATATCACTAAAAGGGTCAAAATAATCTTTTTGTCTGTTATTATCCTTGTCACAATCCCTAAAAGTTATGTAATATATTAATTACTATATATTGTCTATACCACATTTTATAAAAAGTGATGGTGTTTTAGTGAACTAAAAAGTCAATATTTTATTAGAAAAGAAAATAAAAATCCATCAATTGAGCGGTTCATAAACCATTAATTTGTTGATAACAAATTCTAACAATTTGGTAGAACATTTTTCTTTAAAAAAAAAAGCACAAATGGTTATGCTACGACATACCTTTCAACACACACCAACAATCTTTCCGCTATGGCCGATGGTTTTGTTGTGTTGTCCACGAACTCTCAGAGCGTAGTAGTGAAGCCAACAGTGATTCCTAAAATGAACAACACTTGTATCTCGGGAGATTAATATATTCTTTTTCTATAACATATATCAAACTAACATTATTATGATTAACTTATATGGATAAATCATCATAAAGGAAAAGAAAATGAGAGACCTGGTTAACATAGTACTTTATGCGACCAAAGATCAAAATCCAAGAATCTAACATAGCACAATTGCAAATGAAGGAAAGTTTGAGGATGAAAATGTAATCCTAAAGTAGCAAAGAAAAGCACAAATAGCAACCAAAGATTAACTTTTGGTGTGAAGGGTGGGTGGTTAGTAGTCGTAGATGGGTGTTTGGTGGTGGGTAGTGATGGATGGTGCCATGGTGGGTACAGGTGGCGGTGTAAACAAGTTACACCATTAATGAATGAAATTTGAGACTTTAATAGTTAAATTACACAAGTAGTGAAGAAGAAAATACCAGCAACCTAAGCTAATAAGGTAATAAAGTAATGAAGTTGAGTTAATGTAACACAGTCGCAAAGAACCAGGTCTAAAAGTCAAAATAATTACTAATACTATCAAATTCGATTTTAATAACACAAGAAGAGAACCAAAAGTACCCACTGGAGGTCAATAACTAGGTCGGAGGTCCGTAGGTCGCTTAATTTGTTGGTGTAAATTTGTCAATGTACAATAACAAGAGCAGGAGCGATGTAGCCTTCAGATTAATGAGAATGTGGTCAAAAGAAATGAAGGAAAAGGAACATACAACACATAGTTTCTTAGCGCTCTTCATAGTATCCTTCAGATTCTCTGAAGTCACTTGGTGATAGTCGCAGTCTCCTCATGAAACTAGACATCATAAGTGTCGCACTCTGTCGGAGAGGAGGGACTCCACCGGATGGGTGTCGCTAGAAAGCGTCGGAGAGGAGGGGCTCCACCAGATGGGTGTTGCTGGGAAGCGCTGGACGGTGTCAGAGGTGGGAGACATCGACACCAAGAGAAATGTTGGAGGTGGGAGAAGCTATCGACGTCGAGAACTGAGGAGAAGAGAAATGATTTTGTTAAAGTGAGAAAGAGAGAAAGGAAAATTTAAGAAAGAACGTACATTAGAAGAAGGCGGCTAGGGTAAGTTCTTGACAAAAGCCCTAGCTATTACAAAAAGGGAAACTAAAGTGGAGGACAAAAAAAAAGGAAGGCACGGTTTTTAAGTTTTTGGGATTTCATTTTTTCCTCCGGATGGAACGCGTGCATTCTATTAAAATTTATAAAGCAATGGCCTTAGAAGACATGCATTTTATTATTAGGTACCCTCCGCGTTTTTTTTTTTGTTTAGACACTAATTTTAAATTCTTTAAATTTTTCGAGAGATGACATCATTTTTTGGACACACACATTTGTGTATCATAAATTATGCGTGTCATGGTTCGCATGACATTAAAGGACTATATTCTAGTAGTGTTGATGAGACATCTAATATGTTTCACAATTATCCAAGAATTTCTATAAGTCAACGGAAATTATTCTAGCATGTGAGACACATCAACATCGTCAAAATAATGCTTCCATCAAAGTATCATGACCCAACTGACTGGTTTGTAGAGGTTGTTCAAATATGGGATCATTCAGTATATATAACTTCTATTTATCCTTAAGAAAGAACTTCAACATATAATACCATTTGTAGAAATTATAGCTATCAAATCTTACTATCTCTTGAAACTCAACAAGAGAGAGGTTTTATAGGGGTATAAGAGTATTAGTAGTTTTATACAAAATTTAACAAAATTCCATCTAGTGTTTTAGTATTAAGTATTTAAAAAATTAATAGCTTTTACTATTTCTAAAACATTAATTTATTAAAGTTTTGAATCCAAATTATGAAACATGTAAGTGGTTAGGTGATCTTTATCACATCCACTTGATGAAACTCGATAGATAACAATTACCAATTGCATCAAATATATTGGGTCACTCAATTGTATATATATTTGATGATGTAAAATATATACATTGCGGTTATAGTTAGTTAATCTGAATATATGTTGATGAAAGTTCATATGTCAACGATTGAAGAACATTCATTGATGACTAAAAGACCCTGAAGACTCTTTCAGTACTAAGTGCATGAAGACATCATGTACTGAAGAATGATCATTGTGTCCAGACGCTGATGGTTATACACTGATGACATACTAATCAGATGGTATTGAAGTATTGAAGAAGAAACTGATTGAAAGGAAGAAAGAAATATTAGATATGAAGGAGAAGACTAAAGAAAATGGTGTGAAGAAGAATGTAACTGAAGAGAGTTCATCATCAAGAAAGCCAAGTTTTCACCCTGATGAACATCAGTGTAGCTCTTACAATGACAACTCTTATGTTGATAAACTTCATGCTGAGAAACCACAAGCTGCTCATACTCGAAAAGCTTCATCACACGCTGAAAAATCAAATCATGCAGATAAGTTTGTTCAAGCTAACAAGACTTTTGGCACTGTCAAATTAATCATATGAAGTTCCTGTCAAGAATCAAGCTCCAACATCAACTCTAAACATTGGAAGATGTCAAGCTGGTAAGTTTTTTAACGTATGTTCTTGGTTCACTAACTCTTCTTACAGTGAAAAACAATCAAATAAAAGAAAGCAGAGACCTCAAAAAAGAAGGCGTGGGCGGAAAAGAAAGCATATCCAAAACCTAAGAAGATAAAGCAAGTGTGGCTTCTCAAAGGTACATCTACACTCTCTGATGTGAAGGCAACCACATAAGCTAAAGAGAATAAAGAGATGCAGTATAACCAGAAGCATAAAGAAAATAAAAGGGGATTTCAGAATCCTGGAGCTAGCATTTCTTCACCTGATCAAAGACATTCTAAAAAAGAAAAGTATATTTCTAAACCCAATCTCAAATGGGTTTTTACATTTATTTGCTAATTTATGAGAATGTGAGAGAGTATGAACTTTTGAAAATACATATTAGTTGTCTCTCTCATTGAAGAAAGGTGTGATGTAAATTAGTTTTGTAATTTTTGAAAATACATAGTAGTTGTCTCTCTCACTAAAGAAAGGTGTGATGTAAATTAGTTTTGTAATTTTTTTAAAGTTTTCATAGTTTTAATTCGCTTTTAGTTAAATTTTAAAAAAATGAAAAAGTGTTTCTATGTGGTTATTCTTTTACAAAAGATTCTTTTGAAGTTGTTATGTAATTCTTTGTAGAAGATATCACAATTCTCTTGGTCAAGGATTTGCTTCTTTGTCGAGGAATTGGCTGTTTCAGATGGATATAGTCAAAGAAGATGGAAGTAGCCGTCTGATTTTAAGGGTAGTTTAGGCAATTGCCAATGTTTTGTCTTGTCTTTCACCTTGTACACGAAGTATGGGTAACAAGAAACGCTACAAATGTACAAAAGATAAAGTTGAAGCTTGTAAATTTAAGTTAGCTAGAAAACAAGGATGCAATTTTTTTATGACTTTGCTCTAACTCTTTAGGAACATAGCAAACAGCATCGAGGGTATTTCGGTCGAGTTAAAAATAAAATAAAATAAAATCAGAAATAAAGCGATTGAAGCATAGGTCAAGGTATAAGTCGAACAACAGCATCATGTGTCAACTTCATCATGATTTTTGTCTAGTGGATAAAGAACATAGTCCTTTATGTTCTAATGTATCCAAGCTATTTTTGTCAACAAAAAGTCAATGCTTATGAAATCAAAGTATATTTTCTTCTATCTCTTAAAATACAAATGTTTTTTCTCGAGGAAATGGACAAAAGAAGGGTCACGCTCCGTCACAATGAACAAGAATAGGAGGTTGCAGAAAAGGTGTCGGTTTGATAAACTCTATCTATTGTGTTGTCAAAGGTTCCAAGAAATATTCTTGTCTCTATCCTTAGTCAAGAATTGTTGGCTGACACGCAACATAGTAGAACATAGAAGGGAAAGGAATTGAACATCAAATTCTCATTTAAACTCGGCTGTTGTGTATAAAAAGATGGATGGAAAATTCTTTTTGTCTCAAAACCCTAATTAAGAAAGGGTCTTTTTGTCTTTAATGGAGTCAACGGATTTTCAATAAACCAAAATCTGATCTTGCTATTGTTGTCATGGAATTATGGCAGAATTCGTTAATCTATAGAGATCTGTTAACGACATTATCGTCCAAAAAATAAAAGATTCTACCTGCCCATCTAGGATGGGAAAAGTAACCAGGAAATGTTACCCGTGTGTATGTATGTATGGCAGCCTTACACCTATGTGCATGATCAATTCAAGAAGCTACAAAGGGGGTACAAGTTTGGAAAACAATGTAGGTACAATCAAGTGAAGCTACATGTCTTGATAAATTGTTGTCAAGGTCTCATGTGTGGTTTATATCAAAGAAGATTTCAATATTAAATCACATAAATATTGAAGTAGTAAGTCTCAGCATGCTCAAATCGTAGGAAAGAGAAAGAATTAAAGTGTTACATGGCTTTCTGATTATTACCGAGAATGAGGGAACAAAGGCTACAATATAAAAAAAATAAAGGTGTTTGTGAGGAAGAAGGTTATTACATGACTGTTTTGTAGTAAAATTGCCCCTACTGTTACATATTGCAGAAATAAAAGGACATCTTGGTAACTACTTTAATGTCTTGGGGACATAAAAGTTTTACTCACATATAAAGGAAAATTAAAGCATTATGGTGCTCTAAATGATGTGTTTAAAATCGATCTTTCAAGAAGATTGGTGACATCAAAGATTGTCATACAAGTTATTGGTGAAGGATGAGAGTTTCATTTAATGAAATTTAGAATTCCTCACGATGTGTATTGAAAATGAGTCCTGAAAGAAGAGTTAATAACTGAATTTCTCTTACAGTTACTTTTCTCGTCTCAATCAAGGCATTAAAGGCAAAATTAATGAAGAAGCAATTAAGAAGAATGTTTTGTAGTTACATGGCTATAGTAAAGAATTTATTGCTGCAATATTTTTCATATGGGCAGGGATTTAACATATGGTAATATTTTTCATAATGAATAATTATTGTGTGTAACCTTAAGTATATATTAGAAAATCCTTTTTTTTTTTTTAATTATGAGAATTAACAATAAATAAATATTGTAAGACACGCAGCTATAGTCAGAAGTTAAGTAGTTCAGAGGCCTTTTGTGTCGTAATTGTCAAAATAAGGGATGATCATGGGATGTAACCGGTACCGACCCATACTGTTCCCGATTTCGCAAAAATCGAATTTGGTCAAAAGTCAATCCCAAGTACCGAACCGAATTAACATTATCGGTACCGGTACCAGGAATGATACGGATTTTTGGTACTAATACCGGTACCGGTGGTACCGATTCCCAAATTTCATGTATTTGGAGTGCCAAGTACCGTCCCATATTTTTAAATTCGGTACGGTTCGTACCGGTTCTGGTACGGTATCGGTACGGAATCGAGATTTGGAACAAATTGCTCAAGTTGTCTATGTGTGATTGAGAAGAGGTTCATGGCTCTGTTATACATTAAAGTACATTGTGTTATAATACTACCTTTGTCCTAAATTGATAGTCCAGTTTTGATTTTTGAAGTTTTTTTTCTTCAACTTTGATCTTAAATATATTTTTTTATAGATAATACTTGATGCAAAATATATGAATGAATTCTATTTTAAATAATTTTTCATTGTTATAAGTTTTATCAAGTAATATATAACACACATACAAATATTAAATATCAAAGTTGAAGAAAAAAAACTTTAAATATCAATAGTGGACTATCAATTTGGGACAGAGTGAGTAATAATAATAATAATAATAATAATAATAATAATAATAATTAATACATACATACATACATACATTTGATCTTTTATAAACATATAAAAATTGTTTCCAAAAAGTTTTATTTTCTAAAGTTTTAGTTTGTTTAAATTTGATCTTTTATATTTATTTTGTTGTTTTAAGTAGTTAAATAAAAATAAATCCGACTGTTTTTTAATTAGTTGTATTTATTGTCCCAAAATAAATAATAAATATATAATTTGCTAATTAAATTTCCTTTACATAATTTTTTTGTATATTTTGTTTGTAGTTCTTAGATTTAATTCGTTTGTTTAACTTTTATCTTTGATATATAATCATATTTTTTAAAATTACTTGTTAGTTTTTGTTTAAGTCATATTATTTTTAGTTATTAATTTGTTAGTTTCTATTTTCTAGTTGATTCTATTTAATTTTTTTCTCTTATATTTATTTTGTTTCTATTTAAATCTAAAAATTTCAAAAATAAGTGTTGTACGGGTCTTCTCAGCAAATGTTTTCAAATGTACACTGAAATAACGAAATAGTGTCAACGTTTTCAGCTTCCGGGGACAAATTTAATAATGTGACTGATGTTCAAACTATCTATGAATATTAGAATTTATTTACCACCTAAAATGTCTAACCGTCATATATTCATTACGTGTTCAAAGTTCTTTGTGCTAAGAATTGATAAGTTCTGGCAGGTCTTGGTGACGGTATACCTAATGTGTTAATACACATCTGGTTTAAGATTTACAATCTTATTGCCTAATTTTAGAACTATTTGATAGTGAACTATGTGTTATAAAGAGTCATGCCTTATGAGCCGAAACTGGATTTGTTGAAGAACCACATGCTTAGGGAGAAGGAGTCCAGTTTGACAAAGGCAACTGGGTTGAAATTTAAAAAGCATGTAGTAATGATTTTTGAAGCTGAAACATATTCTTCATTTGGTATTGTCAATCATTCTAAAAATCATTGTACCTATCATGATTTGGTAATGGAATTTCATAAGCCAAGTTTGTAACTGTTGACAATTCTCGTCCCTAGATGCATGTTGTTGTATGTGCCTAAATCTCTCTAAGTATCTCATCAGCGAGACCATCTGTTGAGCAGTCGAGGAGAATGTTCTAGTTCCGATTCTGGATCTGGTAAGTGATTGATTGGAGGATATGTGAGTTCATCACGTTGGACATTACTCGCGGTATTATGGAGGTCACCCCTGTGATTTTAGGTACCATCAAGGAGGGGGTCATGGAGCTTTCGGAGGAACTTATCGGGGTTTTTCAGGCGTAGATTACGATAGTACAGTTAGGTGCTCAAACACTCTCTTTTCTGGAGTTCAAGGCCTGTGGAGCCGCAGGATATTTCGGGACGAAGGAACTTATTGCTAGTCGCCAGTGGATAACTGACATGGAGAATACTCAGCAAACGAGCTTCTTCCCTAAGGGTCAAAGTTGGGATTCATATCTTGCCTTCTGAGGGACCAAGCTCGTGACTGGTGGGAGGAAACTGGTCATGATTTAGGGTTGAAGGTCATGGTGTCCATGTTGTAGGATGATTTTGTGAGGTGGTTCCATGCTGAGCTTGCACTCATTATCGAGGTGGAGTAAATTGTAACACCCGTAGATCCGGGCTAGTCAATTTAGAGGCAATAAGTGTTGAAAACGACTTTTCGACGAATAACTATTTAGAATAAATAATCTTAACCAAGTTTTAGAATATTTCTCAAG